CACCTCCCCGGTGCGGCTCTCGGTGTCCTCCTGTGTCCCCTCCGCTCACCGCCCCATCTCCGGCCTGCCGCGATCCTCACACACACACACGGAACCGGAAGATGGACCCCCCAGACCCCGCCTACCACTTACCATCACTGACAGCCTCCTCCGCCAATCAGCGCCACTCCTCTGTGACAGACAGTCCGAACTCCCTGTCAGTATCGCCATGGAGACCGGTGGGATCCCGCCTCCCTTTAACCCACGTGACCTTCTTCCCTGCGCCCTCTGGTTACCATGGAGACCAAGATGACACCGTCTGCCATCTTCCCTAAGCCAGATTAACCCGTTCATGACCCCTGCACCAGTATATACTATATACACGGCACTAACCCCATCCTGTCCTCCGGAACACTATATATGGCCTGTGCATTAACCCTTTTCCTGCCCCATGCCAATTTATGGAAAGCTGGATAAGGATGGAAGGTCAGAGTTAGGTTGGCGGGTCAGTGTCAAGCTGGAAGTAGATCAGTATGGGGTCAGGTTGAGGTCTCAGAGCTAGGTTGGATGGATCATAGTTGGGTTGGGGGGTCATTGTGATGATGGATGTTCTGGGTAGATTTGGGGACCAGGTTGGAGGGTCAGAGTTGGTTAGGGTCAGAGGCTGTAGGTCATATTGGAAAGGTGGGTCAGGTTGGAAGGTCAGAGGTTGGCGGGTCAGTGTCAAGCTGGTAATAAATCAGGATGGGGTCAGGTTGAGGGCTCAGAGATGGGTTGGGGTCAGGGGCTCTAGGTTATGTTGGAAGGCTGGATAATCATTGTTAGGTTGAGGGGTCAGAGATGGGCGGAAGGGTCAACTTCATGTTTGTGGTCTGGTCAGGGTCAACCTAGGAGCAAGGCATGATCAGGTCAAGTTGGAAGGTCAAAGTTGGGTTAGAGGGTCAATATCGAGCTGGAAGCAGATCAGGATGGGGTCAGCTTGATGGATCATTGATGAGTTGAAGGATGTTGTGTCATGTTTGATTTGGTCAGGATGAAGAAAGGGGCAAGTTAGGATCAGGTCAGGTGGAAGGGCCAGTGTTGGTTTTCAGGGTCAGTGTGATGTTGGAGGTTCAGGCTAGATATGGGTCAGGTGGGAGGGTCAGAGGCTCTAGTTCATATTGGAAGGCTGGATAAGGTTGCAAGGTCAGCGTTAGGTTGACAGGTCAGGGTTACTCTGGAAGTAGATCAGGATGGGGTCAGGTTGAGGACTCAGAGATGGGTTGAGGTCAGGACCAAGGAAGGGGAGGGTTATGATCAGGTCAGGTTGAAGGGTGAGTATTGGTTTTTGGGATCAGTGTGATGTTGAAGGTTCAGGGCACGTTAAAATAAGGTTGGAGGATCATAGTGGGTTGGGGGTCAGAGGTTCCAGTTGGGTTGGAGGATCGGGGTCAATATGGAAGCAGATGAGGGCAGGAAATAAGTGTAGGATTGAGGGGTCAGAGATAGGCTGGAGGGAGAGCTTCATGCTTGAGGGTCAACCTAGAGGCAAGCTATCAGGTCAAGTTGGAAGATCATTTTTGGGCTGGTGGGTCAGTGTCAAGCTGGAAGTTGATCAGTGTGGGGTCAGGTTGAGGGTCAAGGAAGAGGAAAGTGAAGATCAGGACACGGAGGGTCAGGGTTGGGTTGGAAGATCACGGCTGGGATGTCGGGTCATATTAGGCTGCAAACGTATCAGGTCCCGGTCAGTTAAAAGGATCAGAATGGGTTGGGGCCAGGTCAGTGGGTTCGGTTTGGGTCAGTTTGTCAGGGTAGTGGGTTTGGGTCGGTCAGAACGGGTTGGGGTCAGGTCAGTGGATGGAGGTCAGGTCAGTGGGTGGGGATCAGGTCAGTGGGTCAGGTCAGTGGGGGGATCAGGTCAGTGGATCGGGGTCAGGTCAGTGGATGGAGGTCAGTGGGTCGGGGTCAGGTCAGTGGATGGAGGTCAGGTCAGTGGGTCAGGTCAGTAGGTCAGTGGGGGGGGATCAGGTCAGTGGGTCAGGTCAGTGGGTCGGTATCAGGTCAGTAGGTGGGGCTCAGATCAGTGGGTAGGGAATCAGGTCAGTGGGTGGTTGTCAGGTCGGAGGGTGAGGGTCAGGTCAGTGGGTCGGGATCAGGTCAGTAGGTGGGGGTCAGATCAGTGGGTAGGGAATCAGGTCAGTGGGTGGTTGTCAGGTCAGGTCGAAGGGTGAGGGTCAGGCCAGTGGGTAGGGATCAGGTCAGTTGGTTCGGGGTCAGGTCAGTGGGTGGGCCTCAAGTCAGTGGGTGGGGTCCGCTAAGGTGGTGGGTAAGGGTCAGGTCAGTGGGTTCGGGGTCAGGTCAGTGGGTGGGGGTCAGGTCAGTGGGTTCGGGGTCAGGTCAGTGGGTTC